CCCCCCCCCTCCGTCAGGATAGTTTTGGAGTTTTACAAGTACGCTTAAGCGATTAGAAGTGTTCTTTCATATAAATATCTTTTTATTTGGAAATGGCACGCAAGAATATTGTGTGTTCTCTCGCTTCTCTCATCAATCCAGAGTTTTGTAGCAAATACTCATTAGCCTTAAAGACGGAAAGGATAAGTCAGATGATATAAACGGTTAAAGTATTTAATCCAGTTGGAAACTATTTTATTCAGAACGTTACAAAGACACTACGTTTTAATTATATCTAAAAAGAAATAAACGAACGAAGTTTACATAGACATCGTGTATCGTGTATATTTATTTGCTTGTCTACAGACACATTGTATCTTCGTGCGGCGTATCGACTATATGATTATGAGAAATATCGTCGGGAAGCAAGAAGGGCGGAATTGTAAAATACAATTACACATCATATAAATTATAATAAACATGTCTCTTAATGTAGTTGTGTTGCGAACGAATATAGTATGGTACTTCGATTGCCAAATAATACAGATTTTTTTCCCAGAGAATCAGAATGTCTACGTTGTCTAGATCGCATGGCTTAAATGACACAAATGTATGAAAATCTTTTATCAATTGTCTTCAAAATCCCATGAATCCCACGAAGATAACAATCGAATAACTTGAATGTTGTACAAAGTGCGTTTGATCGAGATGACACGATTCAGGCGGCTTGCACTACTTTATTCTGCGGTACTTTTTGTGCCGAATTAATCTTATCACCGAGCGACAATGCCATACCTTGACTCTTGGCTCTGATACGGATATGACCGACTACCGGAGCATCCGGTTTGTTCAGCGGTTTCTCAATTGACAGATTCGCCAACGCGTCTTCGCCGAATATCGACTTGGCATACATATTCGCTGCCATAAATCCACATTGTCCTGAGAGAGCCTGTGGAAAAAGGAATTATTGTATAACAGCGGAAATATTTTGACGATACAGAAATACAAAAAAAAAAATGGAAGTACTAGACATGCCTTTTCCGGTGTGAGGCAACGCATATTCGTAGACTTTAGTAAGTGTGCGAGGTACTCTCTCAGATCAGACAATGTTGTGTAGACCGATACTTTGTTCTCCCACTCGAATTCTGCCCACATCTGACGAAATTCTGCGTCAGTACACGTCGCAGGTACTATATAATCCATGATGTCGATGTGTATATCGTTGAGAACGACCACGCTCCTATCGGAGCCTGCTCCTGATACGTCATAAACTGTGAACAGACGGCCAAGTGGCAGCTTTGTTTTTCTGGAATTCTTTGCGATGTTACAATTTTTTTACTATAGTCACTTACCGATATTTCCAAATATAATACCATTCTCCGTAGATGCGACTTTTACGTTCGCCTTGATAGTGGCGAAATCTCTTGGCGCGAGCACAATAGGCTGCGGTCTTTCTACCAATTTTAGATCACCCATAGTAGCCAATTCCAATGTGCAGTTTTGCAAGGTGTCCTCTGTTTGATTAACTATCAAAACGTCGAGCACAATATCGTATTGATTCACATGCACCAGTGCTTCTGCATATACTGGATCCGAAAAACCAGTGAGCTGAGTAACCTTGCTCAAGGCATTCGGAGCTGGAGCGTCTCCACTGGCGCCAGGTCGACCAGCCACAGCCGCACTGAGACTTTGCTCAAACACGTCGCCTGCACCACCAGTTAAATCGGAACCGCGGCTCAGTTGTAAAAACTGTATTGCGTCGTCAACCTGCACAACACTTCCCGGTTTCTCCTTAGCCTAAAAAACATGATAAATGATTAAATGCCACTATTGTCACAAATAGTAATTTGTAAAGCGACAATTCCAATCGGCATTTTTCTTTTCTGATTTGTTTCTTTAAGGAATGAATAAGCAAAATATTTGCAATATACTGACAGATTAGCAAGAAATTCAATCAAAATGCCGCAGCAGATAGTCATCTGTGCTCACACTTATGTTTAGTTGATAAAGCCTTTTAAAATAATCTGATAGCAAATTAGCGACAGAAACTAAGCAGGATCTGTGAATGTTACATTTAAATGATAATTTAACTTAAATTTGTATATTTACGAAACAATATATCCTGTTCGATTTGCACTCAATCTAATTATCACCTTCTGATTTTGCGAATCTTCTTCTTCTATCGCGGCTAACATTCTGCCAAGAGCGTCGCGACATCCTTCCGTGAAAACTTTTTGTACGAGAGGTGTCGGGCAAGCGAGAGATCTGAGGCATAAGGAGATCCGCTCTGCGTCGTCGTGCGTCATCGCTTTCAAAGGAAGTCCCGAACGGCCCAGCTGTAATACGCTGGACATCACGAACATTGCCTCCGCCTGCAATCGGTTGCTTTTTTGAATATTGTTTTCTAGCGTCTTATAACGGAGAGCTAGTTTCGCTAAGGTAGTAGCCAAAGACGCGCCGATAAAGAAGTCACCCTCCATCATGTATTGCACTAATGCCGGTCGCTTTTCTTCTTTTTTCCCTGTAGATCGACATTCGAATTAATATAAAAGATACATAGTGTTTTTTCAATACAATATTTGCCAAAGTTGTCAATATTTTTGCTAAAAAAGGATCAGTTTCAGGTTGTTCGTAGAAACTACAGATAAAAAGTGATTTGTTATAAATGATGTAATGAACGAGTTGCTTACGTGCGGATGTAGCGCTGAAAGCACTCTGAGTAGCGTAAGTTCCGTCAGACGTAACTAATTGTGCGGGTGCGGCTTGCGAATTAGCATCCTCTGTGGACTTCTCGCCGGCTTGACGCTTGTTCTCCGCCTCGAGCAACGGCAGGTCGCCTAGAGCAGCGCGTACGCGACCCATTACAGCTTCTATATCCTCTTTGGACGTAGCATATTCGCCGAGGATCCAGAGTGCAGCTCTGTGCACTTTTACAGAACGTATGTGAGGAAACACCTGATTTATCGAAATTCAAATAATTAATATTTAATGTTAATATTATGATTCATAGCGAAGTACTGTTATGAATACAGACCTCTAAGAGCTTTTCAACAATCAGTGGTCTGAGATTCTCGAATCTCTGAATTGCTTCGCGAACGAACACGAGAACGTCCGTAGCGGCAGCTTCGTTGCTTTCCGATAGAAAATCTGTTAGCACGGGGATGACGGTGGCAGCGACATCCGAGAACTTCATGGAACAAGAGTGAAGAGTTCGCACCAAAAGTTGACGATATTTACCGGCGTCCTCGTGTTCCCCTGTTCTGAGAACCTCCTTCTTCAAGAGTTGTACCATCTCCTCGATCGTACGAGTTGTCACCAGATCCATGGCTAGAGCCAAGGTTTTCGTCCTGACTTCCAAAGCTGGCGATCCTATTTAGAAAATAATAATAGTAGAGATAACATAAGCGTGAAAAATATGCAATAGTAGATAATGATATAGAAGAAGCTGTAACATAATTAATCGTCATGATTGTCAATGCATCACCTAAAACGCGAAGTACATCCATTACGAGATCTTGCAACACCTTTTCGTACGTAGGACTGTCTTTCATCGCGATTAATCGATCGAGTACGATGAGTTTAACGTTGTTGTCGCTTTCTTTGACCACTAGCTCGATATAACATGAAGCCGCGGCTTTGATCGCGGTTGGCGCGTTGGAAAGAGTCACCAATGTGCCGGCTGCTTCGTAACGCACTGCAGCACTGGGTGAATTCAGTAAACTGTAGATACATCTGATAAAACGTGCCCTTTCTGACGGATTCGCGAGGCAAACCTAAAAAATAATTTTATTATGGTACTATCTGTCAAATAAAATCATATGGTTAATAGAGTCTCATTCGAATTAGATTAATTCGAAAGTCTTTTTCTATAAATAATTCACATTTTAATAGCCATATTTCTATTTAAAAAAAATCCTTTATTCATATTTCAACATTTGTAAGGCTCCTGGCCTCTCGCATTGTCTATCTCTTTTTAATGATGTCAGAAGCGAGAAAATGCATGCTACAAATTCTTGCAAAATATGTTAAAATAAAAATATATATTCATAAAGTAACACCTGCAACCGATTAAATAAATTTGGGTAAACTAATACAGGGTGGTCCAAAAGTCGATTACTGATTTGAAAGATTCGTAACTTTTTTGCAACATGTACTCAAAATTCGTTGCAACCTAAATACAAGAATATTTGAAATGGTAACTGCCTTTTGGGCTACTCTATACAGCTACGTGTTTATTTCATACCTTATATATCAATTCAACAATAACCAATTGCAAAATGTCACCGAAACTGGGTACTTGATCGAGACATGCAGCCAAGTAAGAGAGCGCTTTGCTTTGATCAGCGTGCAGCAGCATCAGAAACGCGTTTCTTCTGCACGACATGTCCTGTTCTCCCTCCAGATACTTAGCTATCAATTCTGGAGCATCGGGTATAAGAAATTCGAAGTTTTTATAAATAGTGAAGATGGCGAGTACCGCATTACGTCTAACATAAGAGTGTCTGTGCTCCAGACATGATACTATCGCCGGCATCAATGGCTCTAAAAGTTCTGGTTCTTTCAGTTTACATAAGAATCTACAATGAAAAGATCATATCTACAGTATATCATTCTATATCATTCGGTATATACAGAGTGTTTTCTAAATACATATAAAAAATATAGGAGATAATTCTTTACATAAAATAGAAAGAAAGAAAATAAAAAGAAAAAGAATGCACATGAGCATATATTCTAAAATGCTCTGCTTCCAAGATATACCACCCGAAAGGGTAGTTAAAAAATATATATTTTGCGAATAAAAAGACAACAATGAAATATAAACATTTGAAATTTTTGTATTTTTTTACTTAGAAAGTAAAAAGAAATAATATTTTATTTATTCAATTTTATTCTTTCAAAGATGAAATATATTTTCTCTACTTTCTCGATAATAATGCGTGTTAGCGAATCTTAATTAGAATACCTTTTTTGTGTATAAATCTTTAAAAATTCCGAAAATAAGGTCGTTTTCATCCTATTTGTTATGTAATTGAGGGTAATAAAATTATGCACAAAATAAGGATAGCCATTCCCTAGTTTCCAACCTTTATTTTATTTTTGAAGAAAATACTGACGTCGATGACGAACTCGAACAATGTCGATAACGCAAAGACAACCGTTATTAATACAATCACGCTATCCTTTTCGTATTTCTTGTATAAAACTTATGTAAATGTGTGTTGTTTTGTTTCTTCATATTCAGCAGAAAACCTATGAAAGCAGAGAAACTATGTATGTATGAAAATCTTTCTGCAAATTTTCTGGATATTTTCAAGCTCTGAATTTAGATGTGAAGATACAGCAATGACCTTAAAAATGTTTCTGTTTGGAGTATCCACACTTTGAGTATATACAAACTGCGAAACTTTTGGATTAGGCAAGCATTATGTTAATTAAGCAGCTCGAAATTTTATTTACATTTAAAATTGTTTTTTCATTTTCGTCACATATTGAGTAACGTTTTAATTTATTTTTGCATGCACTTTTATTGCATAAAAGAATTTGTAATTCTGCATAACAAATACGACGTAAACTTTGCAAGAAAATGTCAATATTTTGTCGGTATTCAGTATTTTGTAAAGTTTTTAACTTTAGTATCTCCTTAAATACGAGAGCCATCTCAAAATATGATTTACTACTAGTGCTAAATAAATTTAAATTTTTGTTTTACCATTGCCATTTTATTCGCAAAAAAATACTTTTTTAGTCATCCCTTCCGGGAAATCTCGGAAATGAAACATTTTAGAACATATATGTTCAAATGAATCTTTTTTTCTTATTTTGATGTGAAGAATTATCCCATGTATTTTTGACATATATTTAGGAAATACCCTGTATACAAGGTATCAGACGCAACGCATACGTCCGCACGTAAAACTTCAAACTAAATGAAAAAGTTCTATACCATTTTGTAAACAACCGCATAAACAAGTTTGAGATACTAATGATAGAAAATGAGCGAGTGTAATGTGATGAAACGAGTTCTTTAGGTGAAGTCTCATCCAAGATATTGGAATCTATTGACAATTTCTTAGTAACGGCGGGCGATGCGTAATGCTGAACAATATTGACTGTTTTTCCGTAAAAGACACATTGGAACATTATGTTCAACATATAATGTTCCAACAGAGAGTGACACAATGTTACACTGTTTAACACAGTAAAACTTTCAGAGTGTAAAGCATATTCGTGCTACCAAAAAATTATTGACATATGGTAATCACGCTCATTTTTTCATTTCAATACAATAAGAAAATTTATGCATCATATTCAGTGGATTTTTTCTAAAAAGTAAAATGAAGAATATTAAAAAATAAACTAAATATTTTATTATTTATATAAATTCTTCTTTAAATTATTCTATTTATTTTCGGTATTGTTTATAACTAACATTGGACTAGCATTATAATAACATAATTGTATCTTTGAAATATATGTTTTCCAGCACAATTGTTTCTGCGAAAAAAATGTATATATGAATGATAAAAATTTATTATGTACACAAAATTTATTCAAAATCATGTGTCTATTATAAATGCACTCATAAAAATAAGAATAGAAAATATAGTAAAAATAAGAATAGGCTATATACAAGATGGCCCACGTAAAGTGTGACAACTTAAAAACTCTAAAAATATTTATCATATCAAAAAGTTATTTGTGAAAAAGTTTCATGTATTTGAGGAATTTTTCTAACTATGTAAATAAAAATTTGTTCCCGCTCTCTCTTCAAGGGAGCAGAAGGTAATTTCGTGTTTTCCAATGAATCTCCTATAATATGTTACATCTTCTACGGGATTCTACGGAAAAAAAACAAGTAAACTTTATCTGGAATATTTCCTTGAAAAATACTTCTATCAAAAATAGAAAACTGAAAAAACTAAAAAATAGAAAAATAGAAATAGAAATCTGTAATGCACTTTGGTGTTACACTAAAAAATTTAACTATGTTTCAACAAGTATTATACATGGTATGACAATGTAATGTAAAGTATCTTATCTGCTGGAAAACATCCATTGAGTGTTTTCCAGTAAGGATATGCTATACTATATTGTGCTATACTGTGTACTTGTTAGAAGTACTTGTTAGAATACAGTTTATTTTGTTAGTGTAACATCAAGAATGTACTACAGTTTCATATTCTTATTTTCATGAGTTAATTGGCGTATCCATGAAACATATAATTTAGAATAAATTTTTAGTGTTTGATGTAAATAACAAGTTATTATTATCTATATGCACATTCTTCCATAGAAACAAATATAGTTCAATACATATTGCAAACATTCAATTATATTATTACAATATAAACAATGTAAATGTCAATACTATAAACTACTATGTAAAAACTATAAATGTAAATGTAAATACTATAAATGTAAATGTAAATACTATAAATGTAAATACTATAAACAGAATTTAACAATGTTCATTTTTATATCTGTAAGTACTATAACAGTACTATAATTTGTGTTATAATAATATAATTAATGTTAAAATTTCTTTAATATATATTATATTTATCTTTTGAAGAAAAATTTATTGTGTACTGATGTGTAACAATAATATCTATATTGTAGATAATATGTAGTAAAATACGTTTCTCTCAGATAAAACATTTCAAGGTCATTTTGGATACACTCGGGATGTCTAAATATACTTCTCAGGGCATTTTGGGTGTATTCTAGGTGATTTCTAGGACATTTTGTGTGCTATCTAGGCTCATATTAAGAATGAACATAACTACACATAACAATTTTTTTAAATTTTGGCAGCACGACACACTTTACATGCTGAAACTTAGACTTTAGCTGTGTCAAGCAGTGTAACTATTGGAACTGTGTCACTATTGGAACATTCTTGATGAACACAGTGTTACATTGTGTCATTTGCTGGAAAACATCCATTATAATACCCACCTCCACTGTCCTGCCATTGCAGAGATCATCAATAGATTCAGACAACTTGGATGAGACTTTGTGTACAGAGTTCGTCCTATCACCTGCTCTCATTCACCAATTTTCTTTAATTAATAGCTCACAATAATTGACATGATTGTTTGCAAAATAGCAAACTCTGCTTAAAAAATTCGATAAAGATTGATAGAAATATATACAATGTCATTGAAATAACATATGAACTTATTATTTCTGATGGAAACTTCAGTTTCTTACATTTCAATATAAAAAAGTAATCAATTTTCCTCATTTCATATTGTAATTGTTTTTGTCAAATTAGATATTATACTAAACGATTACATATTTATTTGGATACACATGCTATTCTATACAATTTTATTATTTCTTAATAAAACACGATTGAGCTACATAGATTTTTCTCATACAATTTTATCTTCTAAGCAGAGAAAGACTTTTCTGTTCAATTTGATAAGTTTCATCTTTTATATGAGTAGACATACATGTTGCATCAGACATGCTGTATATTTGTATCTGTACCTGAGAGTGGATCCTCTAACAAACTCATTTGGATGCTGCAAATCCTTCCTATACGCATCACATACCAGAATCATCTCCTGCAGAAGTCTGCCATCAGCGGAGGTCTTCGGCACAATCTCCCAAAATATTAACAGCAGCTTCTTGATAGTGTGATCTTGATGAGGCAAAACAAACCTGATAATTGTCATCAGCAGTCCAGGTAGTCTCTCACCGCTCAGGATCATGTGAATCGTCTTCTTCAAAGCCTCGATCTTTGTGGGAACATCACCCTTCTCGAGATCCTGCTTCAGCTGGAGCTCGTTCAAGGGCTCCGTGTCAGTCGGAATGTTTATCAGGGTATAGCACGGCTGCTCCACCATCGTGCTCATTTTCCCGGCTTTTCTCGACGTCGCTACAGAAAGGCAACCCGCTCACGATCTACGAGGACATCAGAAGCACAATGGTATTATCATAGCGTAGACAAATGTGACTGTGCCGCAAAACGTGGCAACAAAGGATGCAGGCACGATGATATTAATAATGACGTATTATCGGATATGCATTATCGGTAATTAAATCAGTTTTCTTTTTATACCGAAATCGTGAAGTAAAGATAAGCGAGATATATGTGCGTGTGAGGTTATGTAGCCTAACATATTATGTATGTTTACGATACCGCTGGTGAATTTCACGTATATAAGACACTTGCCATTCATGAATTCGGCACGTACCTAATATTAAGAAAACCACTCGAAAATAAGCGACTTGTCAAAGTTCACGGGCATTTAAATACATGTAGACGTAAAGTGAGATGTATACGTGTCTTACGTGTCAAACGCGACGTTAAGAGGTAACCCTTCCCGACGATGATGTCGCTACTTTCTTGCAGTTCACGAAATATGTCTGTCGATCAAGAAGGCTGCATTTTAGACGGTTGTATCAACAGAGCTACTCATAAATTTAGTCATCAAATACAATTTCGTTTTTATACATTTATTTCACTATTTAAATAATATTAATTTACTATTTAAATATTAATTTGCAACAAAGTCGAGGTGAATAAATAAATAAATAAATATACATATATATAATATTACAGATATAAAAATATTTTTTTATTTTTCTTATCAACTCAGTGAGAAGTGACTTCGAACTGATCGACGTCGAAAAGACGTCGAAAAAACGTCGAATTGACGTCGAAATCGTCAAATCGACGTCGATTCAACGTTTTTTCGACGTTTATCAGTAAGTCATTTCTCACTGGGAATACTTCATTTATATCAGTCGATCCAATAGAGATGCATAGATAATAGAAAGAGGTATCCGTAATGGGATGCCGTCTACAATGAGAATAAAGTGCGGGCTGTAAGAAGTAAAAGTAAGAAATTGACCAATCACAGTCGCATGTGAGAAGAATAATCGACTGTAATTGGTTTCTTATTCTTATTTCTTATAGTCATCCTTTATCCCTTATAGAAATATTATACTAAGAATCATTGATAATTACTTATTTTCAGTATTAAAAATACTGGATAATAAGTAATTATCAATGATTCTTAGTATGATATTTCTATAAGGGATTATAGCCATCCTTTATATTCATTGTAGACGGTGCACTTAAATGTTTTTAAGACAATGTTGTGTGGGAAATATAGCCATAACAAATTATTAATATTATATTTTCTTTGTTAAGTTTTGTTATTATTATTTCAACTAAATAAAATGATCTTCAATGAAATGTGAAAGCGCTTCTTACTTTTTTTATATTTGATAATTTCTCTAGCGTCTCCTTTACTATTATTATTAATATATTTAGCGCACGTAGTCAATAAAAATTTTATAGCTGCACCAGGTTGTTGAAATTTAACTATTTCAATAATTAAAAAACTATTAATGGGAAGCGAAAAAATATTTTTCTTTTTTTTTATTTATTAGTACTTTCTTTCAAAATTTTTCGTTGTTCTTTTCGCTCCTATATTATTATATAGCTTGTATGAATAATATTAATTTTGTAGCTAATTTCGTATATCAAATAAGTTTCTCAGTTATTCAAGAAGGCTATCAAGTATTAACAGTTATACCACGTTGACAGCACTATAAATAGTCAATATTTTTGCTCAAATCGTTTATCACTGACAATGTATATCTATATAGTTACGTCACTATTAACATACAAAAATAATTAAATATACGAGCAAGAAAATTTACTATATAAACATAAATATTAGCTGCGAGTGCTCCAACGAGTCGTCAGTCTATAAATATATAACATAAGATGGATAGAATCTTCGTTTATTGGATTCATTGCAACAATATTGTAATCAAACGACAATAATATAAACATCTTTACTCACTCACTCACGTTGAAAACATCAGTTCTCGTCTGATCACTGTAATGAAGCAACGTTGGGCGCGGTTAGTACTTAGATGGTGACCACTTGGAAACACCGCGTACTGTTGGCGTTATATTTTTTCTTTTTTTAAAATAATTTCTTAAACATTCTTTGATATTGTTATAAATTTATTTAGCGCACGAGCGCAGCCAGTAAAAACTTCACAATTGCTTATTATTTAAATAATTATTTAGATAGTTAAAAAAGTAATAGTAAGAAGCATCAACTCGTTTTCTTCTTTATTTCTTTCTCTTTTAAAAAATCTTGTTGGTATTTTAAAACCATTTTATTATTATCTATCTTACATGAGTAATAAAAATATTATAATTGTGCAATGTATATCCAACAGGTTTTCTGTGAATCAAAAAAATGTGTAAGTGTCAACGGTCATACCACGTTGAAAGCACCAGTTCTCGTCATTTATGATATGGCCGATATTCTTAGAATCGAAAATTTTATAATAAAACTGATTAGAGATCACTACTCCAGCGTAGCTAATATAAAGCAAAATAGTTTAATATTTGGTGCGTTATACCCTAATAATGAATATCTTGAAAAATGTATAGCTACAGGGTTTGTACCTCCCGAAGCCTTTTTATTTCTAGACGCTAAGGGATACATTCAAAACAATGATAATGTACCTGTTATTTATCATATCGTCCGTCATAATAACAATAAGAAATTAATCTATGCCCCTAATCTTGAAAACAGTGATACTGAATACAGATGGAAATATAGCAATATAGCATGTCTATCCCTAATAGAGATATAACTGATAAATACAGGGAAAATAAAGACAAATATTGGTGGCTGGATTAAATTCTTATTTGTTTAATTTATTTATTTATAATTTGTTTTATAATGTATTTTTTTTCTTATATATATTTATGTCTATTTTATATTTTATAACTAGTGTTTTATATTTTATATTTTATGATTGGTTATTTCTATTATACTGCGTATAATGTTTTTTACTTTTATTTATAATATATAAGCTCTCATATATATGATAGCGTAGCCAATTTTTCTTGGACCTTTTTTCTGGTAATATATATTCATTTTATTAAATATTACTTGGCTGTTTTTACAGTATGTTAATTTTGTTATTAATTACCGCTTCGTTTTCTTATCATAAACCGTATCTGCGACCCTTATAGAAAAGTATTACTGGCTGTGATAAATTGGCCAGTAATAAATAGTAATTTTATTACTCGTACGAGTAATAAAATTATTCAACGACAGTAATTATCACTGACCAAATTATCACTTATCAGTATTAAATTTCTATAAGGGGAGATGCCTTGTTTGAGTCTGTTCAGATCTATTTAAACCTGTTATTGAAAACTTTTGTTTATTAAGCTTATTGTATGCATTTAATTGTAATTTTGGTCCTAAATAAACGAAATAAAAAAAAAACATCAGTTCTCGTCTGATCACTGAAGTTAACCCTTATAGAAATATCACTAAGAATCATTGATAATTACTTATTTTCAGTATTAAAAATACTAGATAATAAGTAATTACCAATGATTCTTAGTATATTTCTATAAGGGAAGCAACATTGGGCGTTAGTACTTAGATGGTGACCGCTTGGGAACATCGCATACTGTTGGCGTTATATTTTTTCTTTTTTTAAAATAATTTCTTAAGCATTCTTTGATATTGTTATAAATTTATTTAGCGCACGCGCGCGCGCAGCCAGTTAAAATTTCACAGCTGCTTATTGTTCAAATAATTATTAGATAGCTAAAAAAATAATAGTAAGAAGCGTCAACTCGTCATCTCTTTTACTTTTTCCTCTTTTGAAAAATCTTGTTGGTATTTTATAACCATTTCATTATTATCTACCTTACATGAATAATGAAAATATTATAATGTGCGATGTGTATCCAACAAGTTTTCTGTAAATCAAGAAAACATACAAGTGTCAACGGTCATACTACGTTGAAAGCACCAGTTCTCGTCTGATCACTGAAGTCAAGCAACGTTGGGCACGGTCAGTACTTAGATGGGTGACCGCTTGGGAACACCGTGTACTGTTGGCATAATTTTTTCTTTTTTTGATAATTTTCAAAAACTAATAATGGAACGCGACAACCTATCCCTTCTTTTTGTTTTTAATTTTCTCGTTTTTTTGTGTTATCAGGTTATTATCTAGCTTATACGACCAAGAAAAATTTCGTAGTTATATGTCAAGTAAGTTTTCTAATAACTCAAATAGATTAGCAAGTATCAACGGTCATACCACGTTGAAAGTACCTCCTAGAGAACCAATTCACCTAGAGAACCACGGATTCATAAAGCTATATTCAACAACGCATGCAATAAATAAAATCATCTCAGATATAAACTGAGCTCTAAATGACAAGTGTGTGGGAGCATGCCTAGTAAACCTGGAAAAAGCATTCGATACTGTATGGCTCGACAGACTACTCTTTAAACTTGATAAAATTCCAGACCTCTTAATCAAATTGATATGGAATATGATAACGAACAAATTGTTTGCAGTAATAAGTAACAGGAAGAAATTAAAACACGAACACAAACTTTTAAATCAGAACACAAACATAAACTTTTAAATGGTCTACAACAAGGAACAATAAATTTACCGATACCGTTTAGCATTTACACTTCCGATATACTACACCTACGGCTTAAATAACACCTACGGCTTAAATAACACTGACGTTATTGCACGTTATTGGCTTTTGCAGACGATCTAATCATACTATGCTAATAAGAAACCGCTCGAAATACAAAAAAACTAGAAAGCGACATATATTAGGAAAAGTCTTTAATTTCTACAACGCATAGAAGTTAAGGATCAATATAAATAAATGTAAATGCATATTGTTCAGACAATCAATGAGAATAGTCAGTAAATCAGTTCAGAAAAGGTATAAGAAATTATAGATTACAACCTCAAAAGGCAACGAGATTATAATAAAGAAAAATAATGTTAAATATTTAAACATGAATACAGATGAGAAATGTCTCTTAAATGAACACATTGAGATACAATTAAATAAAGCTAAAATAGCTCTAAAAGGGCAAAATGTTTTACAACAAGAACCTAACTAGTAGAGTCAAACTAATAGCTTTTGACGAAAAAAATCCTTGATGAACTAAATTCTTTAAAGATACCTTAGCTAAAATTTCAAGGAATAAGTCATTTCGCTACAAAAAGGTCGCTACAATGGGAGGTTAAAAGCGCTTCAAACCTGGGATAAAATACGGCCTTAACGACTGATCGAGAGCACTTGTGATTTGGAACTCGCTACAGCAAGTTTGTGAAGGGCGTGCCATCGACGAAACCCACATCGCCATTTCAACCTAAGGATTCTGTAAGACCGCCGACTTTCTCCTGTGAATCCGGAAAGATCGTCGCAGCCAACAGCCCGACAACGCCCGATTCGCGACTTTTTTTTGATGAGTCCGTTCCATTTTTGTGAACCGACTGTTAGCGATATTTCGTGTTCGAGTCGTGATTTAAGTCCCGCATCGAAGAGCGGAGACCCGGATTAGAATGTTCGAACGGAAATGCATTAGAGCTTGTTTAAGTAAATACAGATCTAGTGAATCTAATTACATAAAATATATAAGTAACAAAAGAATCTACGACTTGGCCGATATACCTAGAATAGTATAATACTGCAATTCTAGATAAAATCGTAAAACTCGTAACTTGTTCTCGTAAAATTCGTAAGACTCGTAAGACTCGTAAGAACTCATGAATAGATTTGTAAATTCTATACGCACTGTATGTCATACGATAACTCGTAAATATCTACGACTTTTTTTTCGTAAGCTACGACTTTACGATTTTACGATTTACTCGTATATTTGCTTAGAATTGCAGCATAAAACTATCCTCAGATATCTCAGACTGGATGTATAATCTTACATTGATTAATTCCATTGAATTTCGACTAATTCATTCATTCTTCATAGTGGAGTTTAATTATAAATTTAAATTCGGAAATATAACACACTCGAAATAGTCCTTTTTTACTGTAAGTTGTTTTTCATGTTGGTTTGTACGTGTCATCTGGTTATTCGTCTCGATTATGAAATTGTAGAATACAATGCGAATATTATGCGAGAAATTACTTGTAACTGGGCGAAGATAAAAGCTAGCTGACCTTTTATCAGACTCGGGACAAGATAAAGTTAATCCTAGAGTCACTAAAAAATTTATTTTTAAAATTCAAGTTAACCCGTACAGATACAATTTATTTATACCTACATATATATGTATATAAAATATAACATTTATATGTATATAAAATCGTAATATTAAATTGGCATAAACATGCTTGTATGTGTATAATTATTAAATCGACAATTTAATTTTTGCGATGTATTTGGATTCGCTTCCTACACTCATAGAACCCGCACGTGCTTCAAACGACTTCTATTGGAACAAATCTTACATTCAGTGGGTGGTTAGGTCGAAGTACTAAATCACTAATTATCTCCATGTCTTTTAAATAATCGATAGGTTCTACGTAGAAATTGCGCACAAGAGTAGCTATCATGGCTTTCATTTCCAACATAGCGAATCTTTGACCTGTCATGCATAATTTTTTTATTAAAAACTGTTGACATATATAGAGATGTGAACATTACGCTGACTTACCAATACAATTCCGTGGTCCTGCGCTGAACGGCAAGTACGAGTAAGGATGACGACTATGTATTTTTTCAGGCAAAAATCTGTCAGGATCGAATACACTGGGATTCGGCCAGAAATTGGGATCTCTATGAACGTCATAGATATTGAGATGTATAATTGTTCCGGCGGGTGCTATATATGAAGCTGTAAAGTATATTACATAATTAGCTGTATTTTATAAACAATAATTCGAAAATATTATGTAAATGCGTATAAAACGTGCATCATATTACTCATGAATATAATTCCGATGTTGTATTAATTTGGAGACGTTAAATCTGAAATTTGATCAAATATGTTTATATATTTATAAAGATATATAGCTGTTACAGTTTAATGGCACATCTTCCGCAGTGACTCGTGATATAAAATGTACGCTTGGGTAGAGCCGCAACGATTCTTTCAAACATCTTTCTAAATACGATAGATTCTGCAAGGACGTCATAGTCAATTTCTCCTCAGACTGTTCCATTACTGTGTTGACCTCTTCTCTGACACGATCCTGTATCACCAATTTTAATTAAAATTGCATGCCTCATTATTTTGTGACATTTTTATATACTCGCAAAGAAACAATTTCAACAAACGTCTAACTGTATAGTTATATTTATTTTATTATTTTATTATAAGGTTGTTTATTTTTAATTTCGTTCAATTCAATAATTTCAATTTATATTGGGTTGGTCAATAAGTCCGTGCGGTTTTTTACTTATAAATAATGTGTAGTATGAAAGGAGAGACGTTTAGCACTCCCCTAGGCAAGGATGGACACATATACAAACTGGTAAGGCACGGTCGTCTTATGACGACGTTTACCACATTTTTGTACCGGATGGAATGCGAGAGCGGTTACCCGGAGCGTCCCGACTACACCGCCGAGGATAGGACACCGGCAGAGGTTTTAGTGGGTAGGTCCCCTCCGGATTTTTCTCAGGAAAGGGAGAGTCCCACATTACCCGTTGGGGGTTCTTGGGTCCCCGAGGGGTGTGCGTAATGCATTTCCTCTGCCTTAACAAAAAAAAAAACTTACAAATGATCGATTATTATTTTTATAGAAGATAATAACTTTAAACAATTATATATTGGTGTTTGTTATCTACTATCTTTTGCCATCTTTCGGGCAGCTTCATAATTCTTCGTTCAAAGAACTTCCTGTCTTTCTCTGCAAAAAACTGCTCCAAGTGTCGTTTGACAGCTTCTTCAGAAACAAAGTGCTTTCCATTCAAGGAATTCTGAAGGGAGTGAAACAAATGGTAATTTGAAGGTGCAATATCTGAAGAATACGGAGGATGTGGTAAGACATCCAAGTCTAGCGCCCATAATTTTTGCCGGGTTTGTAGAAATGTGTGCGGCCTAGCGTTGTCATAGAGAAAGACGACGCCTCTACGATTCATCAATTCTGAACGCTTCTCATGGATGGCTGCATTCAATTTATCTAGCTGACTACATTACACATCTGAATTGATCGTTCTGTTCTTCGGAAGTAACTCGTAGAACACAATACCCTTCCAATCCCACCAAATTGAGAGTATGATCTTGCTCAGATGAAGCCCTGTCTTCGAAGTTGTGGCGGTTCGCTGCGCTACCCCCCCCCCCCCCCCCCC